CATTATTAGGAAAAAAAACTTTCTCAAATTCAGCAGTTCTATAAAAGTAAGCTGTTTAGAGTCGAATGATGTTTCTAATTGCACATACCACTTGAACTTATCAGACCGAATACTCAACTCAAAATCGAGCTTTTGGTCAAAGAAAAAAAAAGACTGCGGGGAATACTCTTAAGATAAATAGCAAAATTTTTCTTCAAACGACTTGTATCAGAAATATCAATCAACATAGCTGTGGAGGGTATTGCATCGGTGAATGTCATGTGATGACGTAACTATTGAGTATGCCAGGCCCCATAATGATGATAGCAAATGACAAGAGTAGAAAAATGGAGAATCATAAATAAAGATTCGACGATTTATTTAGTAAGCAGAAAGGAGAGTAGACAATATGAGGGAACACGTAGAGTCAAATTAAAGGAGATATGTTTGAACTAGAGTAAGTTAGAAATAAGGAAGGATTGGATGAAAAGTAAAATATATAGAAGAAAAAAACAAGTAGAGTAAGAACAATATATGAATAGAATGAATTAATGCAACTAATGAAGAAGCTAAGAATAGTAATTAGAAAATACAAATGAGTGTGAGAGAAAGAACACAGATAACAAGACAACTCAAATATGAATAAAGTAAATATAAACAACAAGAAAAGAGAATATAGGTGATGGCTAGTGTCGTTACAGGGTTTCCATATCCGAAATAAGTCGAATCTCTGATCCGAAAAAAATAGAATTAAATCTACAATAGAGAAACGGAGATAAAAAAAATAGAAATACGTTTTTTTTTCTTTTTTTATGATCGATACGGTATTAAGCGATAGCATCGTTGAAATTGTTACTACATTTAAAATCAAATTCAGTCATCAATGTCTAAAAGACATTGAAAATAAGCAAATATGCTTTTATGATTACCTTGAAAAGAAAGACTTTGTGTTTTGGAATATTTATGATAACATTCATGAAAATGAATTGATCTTCTATGGGTTAGACGTTCAAATGTTGGAACATTATTGTTGAGTGTCGTTATGAAAGAATGAGAAGATATTGAAATGAATAATTTAGTAAGAAGTGATGGTACGAGTGAGTTAGGAAAATGTGAGGTAATATAGTACTGAAATAGTAATAGTTTATGGAGCAGGTATTGCGTAAAATGGTTTGAATAGTTGATGGAACAGAAGCTGAATGGTTGATGACGCCAGATAATGATAAAAGATAGGGCTGAACAATAATGGGTAGTGTATGGGGGGGGGGGGGGCTAAAGTTGGGAATGATGATTGAGGAGTGATTGATGAGCGTGTTGGATAAAAGGGTAAAGAGAATGATAGGACAGAAGTGCAAGTTGGTGAACCACGGATGAGTAATGTAGATGGAACAGTAGATTGAATTACTGATGGAATGGTAGTCAAATTGTCGATGACAACATTTGAAGGTAAAGGATTAGACTGGAAGATAACACTGCGTGTGACCTTGAGTAAAATTAAAGATATTAATTTCGACATAGGATGACATACTGAAGAAATTTGACAGTAAGATAATGATGGAGAAGTCATTGATGAATATGTTGGATGAAGTGGTGAAGAATATGATGCATCAAAAGTAAGTGGAAAAGTAGTTGATGTTTGAGTAGGATCTGAAGCACGAAGATTGTTGCTATTATTATTATAATGACTGTGATTATCATTATTAAAATTATTGTTATTGATGAGGTTTTGCTTGGTAGTGTTGATAAAATTATCGCCACAAGAAAAATCGTTGTGTTGAAAATAATTTTTAGGACGAGAACCATAATTGTTGTCATAATTGTTGTTGACATAGTTAGAATAAGTATTGATACATGAAATATTGGATTGTGTAGATGTATTATTATTGTTATAATGAGACTTAAATTAATAAATTGTAAGTGACGGCCATGATTGTCGATGATTATTGGTATCAATAGACAAATTGTTGATAAAAGGACTTGAAATGTTTTTTTCTCTCAGTAGGCAGCTAATTTAAGTTGTTCATCGACTTCCTGTTGTTCGATATCAAATTCGATGTTTTATGCCTTGCAAACAAGCTCATGAATCGATGAATTAATATCAATGTTAAGACGTGAACGAATATCAGATCGAAGTTTTTGTATAAATTTACATCAAAGCCAATTGTTACTGCATTCTGAATCAATTTCGAACATCAATATTTTAAGACGTTCGAAATAATCTAATGTGTTTTCATTATCAGCTTGAAAAAGTAAACATAGTTTGATAAGAAGACTTTGTATTTTAGTTGGTTTATGATAACGTTCATAAAAACGAAGTTTTAAACCCTGTGAGAGCATCGTCGGATAGTACTTGTTGAATAGTTTGAAGAAGAAGAGAATCGTTATTACTCACGAGAGCCGATGCACGAATTTTGAAATCATTTATAAATTGGATCGGTCATTCATCCGTTGAATCCTTGAACTTAGGTAAATTGTTATTGATGTCTTGTCTTGTGAGCGTGCTGCAGCAAGTTCTAATGTGAGTCGATTAACTACAGCTTGTGCATGATGAAAACACTCGGATATGGCAGCTGTTGAATAATCGACCTGGACTGAATGGGTTGATGCAGATCATGAGTTCATGTTAAAAGGTATCGTTTGGATGACGGATGGTTTTGGAGCTTTCGAGCTCTCTATACAAATAATACGATCCGATATTGATTGTATTCCTCCTCGTACATTTTCGAAAGCGACAAGGAAAGCATTCATCATCACTGTTTGATTGGAATAATGGACTTTGGAAGAAGCAGCAACCAGAGATAAGCAGCTAATTAAAATATCTGTATCTTGATGAGTAGGAAAATTGAACGATAGACGACAGTTAGTTGCTGGATAAAGTGGTGATTGAATGATATTATCAAGTTTGCCAAATGAAGAACATTGCATTGATGACATAGTACTTGATAATAAAGATAATAATTGTGTAGTTGACAAAAATTGATTATGAGTTAATTTATGACATACGCAGGTGCATTTTTGACGGTTCATTATTTTGATTGATATCAGGTCAAATCAGCTTATTGTTGTCTAATTTTACATGAAAAGATAGAGGAAAGTGGGATGAATATATTTTGTCTGAAAAACAATACTTGAAAATCTACTCAAAAAGTGCCAGAAGTTTTCAAAGTTCTCTTCAGCTAAAATTGCTGGAGTGATCCGAATTGTATAAGATGAAAAATCAAAAAAAAAAGAAAATTCTCGTCAATAGGTCTCATTCTTGTGAGAATTGCAATTCAGTAATTCAATGAATTGTTGAGACTTTTTTAAATCACATAGAAAAGACTTTGGACTATCGAATAGTGTAATTTTAATTTATTATTAATTAATAGAAAGATGCGAAAGTTAAGTTTTATGATTTTCTATTGACTTCTGCTTGAGTGATTCGAATTATACCAGCTGACTATATGTTTGAGTTAGAGTAAGTTAGAAATGAGTGAGAATTTGATGAAGAATAAAATATGTAGAAGAAAAAAACAAGAAGAAGAGCAAGAATAATAAATGAAATAGAATGAATTAATATGACTAATAAGGAAGCTAAGAGTAGTAATTAGAAAATGAAAATGAGCGTGAGAGAAAGAACACAGATAACAAGACAACTAAAATATGAGTAAAGTAAGTATAAACAACAAGAAAAGAGAATATAAGTAATGGCTAGTGTTGTCATAGAGAGGATGTTCAGCGATCCAAAACAAACTTGAATGATGGAAAAAAAAGTATAATGTAATATTTATTTTTATGTTGTATTTCGCTAGGAAATATTAAAGATTGAATTCGATAGTTCAATTCTAACTATCATTGATAAAACCATTTTGTTTTTATTCTTTTTGTATCAATTCAAATAATTTTTCAAATATGAGATTTCATATAAAATTCTATTATTACTTATTAAATAATCATTGGGATTTTTTAAAATAGTAAATAAAATTATATATCAGTGAAATTGATTTTTTTTTTGTAAGAAACAGAAATTTAATTTTTACTTCCTGAAAATTTATAAATCTATATTATATTGTGAGAATTCATTAGGGTTTTGTTTATTATTGATTACAAAATTTCGAGATGAAACGAAAATCGCATTGTATTGAATTAAAGTGATTCATAGTTGATTATTCAAACAGCTCAATTTTCGATAGACACCATATGAACATTGCTAAATTTTAATTTTGTGACGGTTTTAAACTTGATGATATTTTCACGTGTAAAATCTTGTTATCGACAGAGCGACTTCTTCAAAGATTCATCAAATATGTTTCAATATCTCTTCTCTTGGAACCAATATTTATTTTCACAACTTCAACGAGGACTTTCGTCTCTAGTACTCAAGTTTTATCAAAAACATTTCTTACTAGGATTGCTCATTCTCGAAAATTTCAGCCCAAACTGATTTTCATATGTCGAAAACCAATTATGAGAGAATGGAGCGAATCCTCAATACAGTAAAAAAAAAATAACATAAAAGCATTTTTTAATATCATGTTTTATTATTCGATATCGTTTATCGTTCAGTATCGATTCAAATTAAAAATTTTTAGTATTCATCGAATTTTTCTTGCACTACATATATTTCGCTATCATCGTTCTAAAATCGCTATTGACATTTAGAAATCTACTTGCTCTTATGAAAACTATTGGTCATCTATAATTAAAAAAACAAAGCTCATACGTCAGAACCTATCAAAAACAATCAAAACAAATAGATTTCAATAAAAGAGAAATATAATTTTATTCAGAATTAATTAATTATATTGAGAAATTCGTTTTTTAAATAATATCTTCAACGACAAATTCTGTAGGAAGTGTATCTATATTGTTTCTCAGACAATAATGATTGAAAGTTATTTTTATTTCTTTTTTTCTTCTCTACTAATAATAAAACATATAATATAAAGCAAACCAAAATACAAAACTAATATAATGTGTTTTCTTGAATGAAAAAATTTGTACTGTGCATAGTGACAAAAAGAAAACAAATTGAAATGTTTCTATTGAGTAAACGAAGGAGTTGAATTAGTCCGACAATAAAGCCAAGGTTGATCATAAGAAAACCGGCCTGTATTGGATGCTGATGTTGATGAGGATGGAGATCTGGAGGATAAAATATTAGTTCGTCGTCGTACTCCACATGCTTGCATAGAAGTTCGACGTCTATCTATCTTTCCATCTGTGTTATAACTTTGTTCGATTTGAATAGCTATACCTTCGAGTGAACCATCTTGTTCTCGTTTTAATTGAACATGCTGTACACTACGGTATGTGTCTTCATTATCATTATTACTATTATTATTATTATTATTATGAAAGGTCGACGATGATGATGGTAGAGGTGAAGATGTTCGATGAAATGCGTGTGTATGTCGACGGTTGTTGTAAAATGAACCAAATTCATTACTTGATGGATGAGAATATTTTTTAGATGGTTGTTCATTAAGTGATGATGTTGAAAAATAATGATTAGGATGATTTTGTTGTGAACTATTTGGTGAAGATGGAGCTGTTCCATATGCACTATCATAACGATTATCACGAAAACTTGGTGAATAAAATCGTTGTTGTTGAAGTTCAATATCATTTTCAACCGATAGAGCATAACGTGATGATGGAGATAATGTTGACTTACTATTATTTGTTTCAATTTTTGAAGAAGAATATAAAGAAGATGAATTTGTTGTTCGAGATTCAATATCAGATTGCTAAACAAAGTCAATAAATCAAAACGATTTGTTTTTTTTTTATTCATTTTTTACTAACCTGTTCATCTATCTTATCTGATACTTTTTCAATGTCATCATTCGTATGGATTATTTTATCATTGTTATTATTATCTAATGATGCATCTGTTTCAGTTGATTGAACATCGATGAACGATTCATCTTCTTGAATAGGTCGATCAATAGATGATGGAGATAGTATATCACCTCCATTTTGCCATGTTGCACTTGTACTACGCGTTGCATCACCAAAACGTGATTCAACTCGAAGACTATCATCAATATCAAATTTAGGTAATTTAACTTGAAATAAAAATTTTCCTGTTTCATCAATATTTTTTGCAAATGTTTCAATACGTTTTCGTATTGTATCAATTGAATTGGTTGAATCTATTTTTGAATTAGATGATGATGATGATAAAACTGTACCAAGATTTCCTTTTTTCATACGAATTAATTCATTTTGATCCATATGTATATATTGCATTTCTTTTTGAACAAATAATTCATATTCTTTTCCAAGTGTTTCATATTCATCATGAATTGTTTGTACAATAAGTGCATGTGCTTTATTGATTGTATTGATAGTATCAATACGCCATTTATGACATTGTTCAAGTGTTTCATTTTTTTGTCGTTCAAGATCATTTTTTGTATGAACGATTTTTGCTACAAGGCGATCACTTAATTCATGTAAACGTTCAAGTTCAATTGTTACATTTTTATAATGTTTGTTACAACATCGTATACATAAACGTTGATTACAATGACAACATTGAAAAAGACCATCATTTGTTTGACAATCATCACATTTTAATGATGATGCCATTAAATCAATAGATGATTGATAATGTGGTGTAGACATTTTAGAATCAGATGGCGATTTTCTTATAGATTCAGTTTGTTCACAATCTTGTTCTGATGATGATGATGATGATGATTCTGTAATTATTTTTGAAATAGATGTTGAAGGTAATTGTATAGAAGAGGAAAGAGAAGAAGAAGGAGAAAAAGCCTTGCTTGTAAGGAAATTTGTGTCTTGTAAATTATGTTGTCGCTAAAATAAACAAATAAATCAATAAAATTCAAAGACGAATAAATTCAAGTTATATTATTATTTTACATATGATCAATGATTATAATCAATACTTCTCATTCGTATTTTTTTTTCATATCTATAAAATGTCTAAAGTGTACAGATTGGGATGGAACAGAAGTTTACCTCGCCAATCATTATATCAAAAAGAAAAAATAAGAAAAGAGAATAAGGGAGAAAAAGACACAGAGATAAACTTTACATGAGAAAGAACATCTACAATTTCACGAACATATCGACACGCATACTTGCAAAAGTGCAAGGTTTCTTTTATATTACTGACAAAAAAAAAGATATTTTCAAATAGATGTGTTGAATTTTCACATACTTGTTATTAAATACCGAAAAATACTACTTTAATGATAATATCTAGGCAGATACATGTTGTCTTATTAGTGATTATACGATAAACATATAGAGAAGAGGTGGATAAGTAGTGTAATGAAGAATAAAAAAAAAGAAGTCTAAAGATGAAAAAAAAAATATATTGAACTTTATGATATATTGCTAATGGGCAATGTGATCATAAATGAAAGAAATAAATGATGTTATGTGTCATCAATATAATAATAACAAATGTAAGACAAGATAGTCATTTATAATTTTCAATTGAAAATAATACATATATCTTTATGTCTTACGTACACGTCTTCTTAATGGTGTTGAATATACTCTTCTATTGTTCGTTGATAAAGATGTATAGAATTCACCCAAACTACGCCTCGGTAACATTCGATCAAAATAGTCTTGAGTCGCCATTATTGTACACGCATATAACTAAACCACTATGATGATGCTAGTCCAAAGATACAAAACAATCGAAAGAGCAAGAAACATATATATCAACAAGCTGTGTTACTGCAGAGAAACAATAAGAGCATTAGCATTTATGAATATGGAAGACAAACAAAACAAAAACACATATGCAATGCCAACAACGCAGGGTGTTGTATCTATATACACTCAAGCTGTAAAAAGTTACTTGATCTTTATCTAATCCATTTCACACTTGTAATAGCTCTTTAAACGGGCATATGGATTCGACATTTTCTTCTCTTATTTTTTCCTTTGCTCTTTCTCTCGTTTTGTTCTAACAAACAACATATTGTCACACTATGACCTCAAGGATTCTACATTTAGAATTCTATATCTCATACAAAGACGAATGTTTATTGCGTGTAAGCATACCATTTTGATAGACTAACTATCTGTCTTTTTATGTCAAATAAAAGCCCAAACATTTCTGATCAGCAAGGATAATTGGTATATATTAAGATAAAAACAATTTGCTTATATTTACTAGATATGTTTATATAGATTACAGAACGAAGAAACATTTTCTTTTTATCATCATAACTTTGATGAAAAACATACCAAAAAAAAAAAAACATTAGCTTTTGACTTTTTTTCATAGTACCTCTTAATTAATTGTGATTTTTTTTTCAATATATGTATTTATCTTAATAGGTATACTCATATGAAGATGATGGAACTAATATATTACGTTTTCATTCGCCTATATCTATATGATACAAACCTCTAGTTTTCGTGTGATGACGACCATTATTTTCAAATATTGTCTTTGTCGTTGTTGCGTTTTTTCTCTTTACTAGAATGTCAAATAGTTAATGATATGAGGAGTTATTCTTCCTCTTCTTTTTTTCTTTTTTGAAAGAAATAAAAAACACATCTACATACATCTACGTATACTCTTGTTTCAATTCCAATAAGAAAAATATTGCCATCGGCACTAATGCTTTCTTTTCTCGTCATTAAAACCTTTTTCTTTTTAAGACTGTATTCTTTATGCATAAATATATATATATATATATATATATATATATATATATACATAAATATGTATATATGTATAGTTGACTGATCAGTATCTTACTTTTTTTTGTTCTTCACTAGTTCCCAAGGATATTAAAATATTAAATTGCTATGTTGATTTTTTCTTCTTTTACTTAATTCTTGTTCGATGTTAGAGACTAAAGAGAGAATGAAAAGCTTCCGTTGTTTATGACATAGTACTTGAACGAATAGTCCTTTTTTTTTTCGTTTCTTTTTTCTTTCACTCATATATTAGTTTTTTTTTCGGTGAAGTGGTTATTGTGGTTGCGGTAAATTATGATAGACGGTTTTTGCATATGTTTATATACTGTCCCGTCTTTCTCAAATAGTAAAATATTTTATCACAGTAAGGTACCATACTGAGTGAATGACAAGCTCTCTTTCTATATATATACATTTGATTATGACTACTAGACATTGGTGTATATAATATAATAGAACAAAAGATATTTGATAGTGTTCTATGGTAAGTACAAACGAATAAAAACTAAATGTAGACAATAAATTGAAAGTCTACTTTTCATGGCTATATTAGTGTTATTCGCCATGAGATATATGCATCTATTAAGATCCAAAACACCCTTATACCAAAGTAATCGAATTAAAAAATCAACGTAATGATTCTAAACTTACTTGGTTTTCAATTGATTAACGTCGTGTATAGGTTTTATTCTATTATTTGCGTTCGAAGGCCCATAGAGAGGCTTTTATAATAATAAAAAAATACCGAAGAACCTTTTAACGATAAGAAATTAGTATAAAGAAAAGCCTTGATACACGGCGAATATGATAGTCACATTCATTTGAACAATAAGAATGCATTTGTCTAATATGTATAAATATGATAAGCAAAAAATGTATTTCGTTATTAAGAAGTATTAAATAAATAATATTCAGAAAATTTTTAATATATGAATGATTCTATTATATGACGTTCTTGAAAATAATAAACAACTTTATTCTCTATAAAAAATTTTCAGAGAAATTATATTCATCTTTGAAATAATTTCATATCAAATATCTAATTTATTGAAGACATGAAGTGTAAAAAGGTATATTTTAATTGAATCATTATTGAAATATGACTAATCGTTTTCAATATCGAATGAATCATTTACTATATAATCATTTTGTGTACTTTCACACATTGATTGGTATTTAACAAGGATTTCCTGATGTACATTAATATTTCCTTTATATTGTTGATAACTAAATCCAGGGTCGTTAAAAATGATCTGTTGACATTTTAACATTTGATGAATTAAGAGTTTACAATTATTGGTAGTAATATCTTGACAGATGTCAATGTCTGGAATCCGAATATTAATTATAAATGGTTCTATATCCAGCGGTTGAGATTGATCAGGTGCGATTATAACATATTGTTTGCCATTAATCAAAATTCCAAATTGAAAAACTATAAAATAAACTAGAGTAAACATGTGTGTTTTGATTACATTTGGCGCACTATGTACAATTAAAACAATGTTTTTCGATATCATTCGATTTTTAATCAATGCAAAACTACTTGAGAAAAGAAATAATTGATTAAATAGAATTATTTACTATTATGTTTGACTTGATTGATCAATACTCATTGGTCTATTAATTCAAGGATATTTCTTTTGAAAAAAAAAATGATAATTGCGATCTTTACAGAAAATTTCAGAACTTTTCTTTTTTTTTACAAACGTCAATCTTCCATACTTAACTCAATCGTCTGTCTACATAATATTGTAAGAAATGTTGGAGAAGGTACACGATGTTTATGAAACGAGTTTCGATCCATTTGACATATAGTAATCGCTCGTTAATACGATTCTTTGGATATTGTTTTCTAGTGACAAATCTTTTTGATAAAAAAAAACATTTTAATGTTTAAAATAAATGATTTCGTAAATTTTAGTGTTATTATCCTTTTTCAAACCTTCTGTTGAAGAAAACTCGATAAAAAATGTTTTCACACTAGATTATTTAGATTTGAGCAAAAGGCAGTCTACAAAAGATATGGATGAAATTCTACGTTAATATGAGAAAACAAATATATTTAAGTCTCATTACACGCAAATTTGACTGAATTTAGCATGATATAAAAGATATTCTTTGACCTTGATCTAAAACATCAATAATATTATTTATGATTGAATGCCATGTACAAGTATTATTATTATAGCAATAAAAAGTTGAAATGAAATATTTCATATTTCAAATTAGTAAAGAAGTCACACGAATGTGATATAAAGTACGACTAGAACACGTTTATTTCGAATCGTATACCAATAGATCGTTAAATAATTGATATTACAATACTAATTACCAGTTTATTCTTTTTTTCATTGATTTTAAAAAACCATGATATGTAGCTCTATCGATTATAATGTGATTATGTTCGGATGCCAATGAAACATTGAATTAGTTTAGTATTTGGACACAAAATATTATTTGAATTTTAAGATATCAATTAATTCAAAATTTATCAATAAAGATAGTTTGATTATCGACTTTTGTTATTTCATACATGTGCTATTCATCTTCAATAGTTTCATTTAATGGCATGAAGCTAATAATCAATGACTTTGATTTAATTTTCTCAATAAAAACTTTTGAATAATTACAGTTTGTTAGATCGGAATCAAGAATCGATTTAAAGATGTCATCCTACGTATTAATTAGCGGTTGTAAGTTTTCAATAGTTTTTTAAAATTTTCTTAGGTTCGTAAAATCTCGCACTGGGAACGGAAGAAAATTATGATAGAGAATATGATGATAAGAAACTAAACAAGGACATCCGTAAAAGGAGATCATGGATGTCGACAATTTTCAACAATCTATAATCTACTTTTATGTTTCGACGGAAATTCAGTCGATTAGTTTAAACTTGTCAATAGGTTTGATATTTCTCTAATGCAAACACAAAACAATGCTTTTTTTTCCACTGGCTAAGTCAGATTGAAAGTTAGAAACTTGAACTATCTTTCATTGAAAAGACAAGATATGAATATGAATCACATTTGGCACATTAAAAGTATGGCCAAAGCATTTTTAAGCTGTTCTTTGTCAAAAATAGACTACAGTCAACATTCACACACGCATACATTCTCACAATGAATTTGAAAAGGCAATTAAACACAAAAAAAAAAACAACACAAAAAAATTTATATACAAAAAAAAAGTCAAAAACCAACGAAAACGAGCTAGAAGAAAAAACAAGGCTGCAAAAGCACGAGCTGATTTTTTTTTAATAATAATACTGTCTTTAAAAAACAAAACAACAGTAGAAAAAG